GAACTCAACACCTATGGCTAGTTACTCGAGTCGGGTCGGCAAGAGCCTGGTCGATTAGATAATGAATCACGGTAGTCTGTTTCTGGGAATCTTTGGGTATTGAGACTCTTGATTCCGGTATACTTGAGTATTACCATTTCTATTTCTGTTGAGGTGTTCGGGTCCGATAAGAGGTATGTTCGGTGGATGGAAGTTGGTGTAAAGTGGGGTCTACGGACATGGTTGTTCTTTATATGTTGACGGAGAGTCAACTAGTTTGGTTCAAGTACAACAATGGGAATTTTGGCTCCTGAGAGCCACCTGTATCCTTTCTATCTAAGGTGTCTGTTCATTTCTCTATGTGATATGCACATGTGACTAATTGAACTTGAAATTTCATGATTCTTGACTGCTATTATTTTGGTACCTCATTGAGCGTAAGCTCACCCCCTTCCCGTTATCTTTATTTTCCTTTTAGGGGCAAACTTTGAATCCTTGATTTTGGAAAAAAGGGTCGAGCTAGTGTAAATATTATTTTGTTAAGCTCTTTTGTAATCGAAACCAGAAATTGTAATTTTAATTGTATGAATACTTTGGTTTGTACTTTAGTTTAGTTAATTTGTTAAAGACTCCGATGTAAATATATGTATAAGTGTTTAACCTATTAAGTGTATTCAGTTGAGATTATGATTTTATGGTTTGGTAAGCATGTTCTCACCTTAGTACTCTCCGATTGTTCGTTTTATTTGGGTCCTATCGCGTGTGCTATATTGGGTTTGTATGATTCGACTCCGTAGTCCTGACGAGAGTTGGGCAGGCGGTCCGCCGAACCCTTTGGTTCGCCTTAGGGCAGTCGGCAATCCGATGATCGGCGCTTCCACAGCGCAGACATTTTTCCTCTTTCTTCCAACAATTTGCCTCCGTATGATTTGGCTCTCCGCAATATCCACATGGACCACGAGTAGCAGAGACCGATCCCCCCTGAGAGACATCAGGCGACACCCCCGATTGTCGTACTCCTCTGTTTCCCTTTCTAATTTTAGGGGGCGTACTCTTATCTTCTTGTCCCGAACTATTCCCAGGGAAGCTCCTTTTCTTGGCTTGGAAGTTTCTCACCTGTAGCCTCACATTTTTAACCCGTTGGGCTTTCTTCACAGCATCACTAAAGGTACTAAGTTGAGCTACAGCCAAGTCCTTCTGAATCTCAACATTTAATCCCTGGACAAAACGTTTTATCCGTCTTTGTTCAGTTACAATCAATTCAGGCGCAAACTTAGATAACCGAGTAAATTGACTCTTATACTCGGCTATGGTCTGAGTTCCTTGGCGAAACCGAATGAATTCATCTTCTTTCTTTTCTTTGATTAGAGGAGGGAAAAACTTGGTGTTGAATTCTCTCATGAAGTTCGTCCATGTTCTCGGGGTTTGTTCTCTTTCCCATTTCAGTCTAATGATATTCCATCAAGATCGAGCTGCTCCATCCAGTTGGAAGACAGCGAAGGCCACTTGTCTCTCCTCGATATAATGTATTGCAGCAAAAATATCGATCATCTTCTCCAACCACCTCTCAGCCACGTCAGGGTCTGGTCCTCCAAGGAATTTTAGTGGGGAGAACTTCTGAAATCTTTCAAGGGCTCTATCCTCGCCTTCTATATTGTTACCAGGGTTTTCAGGTTGATAATTAGGGTTTTGGCCTTGGTGTTCCACTACATGGGCTAGCAGATCGGCCATACGCTGGATAGCAGCGGCTACTTGAGCATTCGGGTCAACCCTAGGTTCAGGATTTGGTTCAGATATTGGTTCCCGGTTACTTCCTTCATTCGAGGGTTACCTAATACTACGTCCACGGCCTCTTCGACTACGGGTACCCTCCATTGAATTTACCAATTTAGGGTCGAAGCGTGAATATACCATTAAAGATAATTATATGCATAACCAAGTAACAAGAGGTACTCACAGATCAAAAGCATATATACATAACACAACTTTATCAAACAAATCAAACGGTAGCAGTCAGTCAGATGCAAGCAAAAGGAAATTTCATGAAAGTATCAGGGTCATCAAAAGTACTATATACTAACCAGGCCAAAGGTACAAAAGCAACTAACGAAAAGCTTTCCCCCTCTAGAGTTCCATCCATACTTTACGAGAATACCACAATTTATATGTTAATCAAGATTAGTCATACTTAATAACAGCCGAACAAATCACACGAAATTCCATAGAATCACATTTCTAATTTACCCAAATCATTTCTAACCTAGGTTCTCATTTCTTTCGTATCCGGGTACAAGAATTCCAAAGAAAATAATTCACAACTCGAGCCGACCGGTCCCAAGCGTAAATCATCCATATTAAAGATTCCTACCCGACATACATACCTATCTTCCTCAAGTCCCATGATAAAGATTTTTACACTTATAACATGCACGACTCATAGTTTACGCCCAAGAAGAGCACGGAATCCTTTAAACACATTCACGAAATCAGGACCATAACACCACTTGGCCCAAACTCACTCCGCGCAGAGACCACGCGAAGTGGCTCTGATACCACCTGTGACAGCCCCACCTCCCCCTAAGGCGAACCAAAGGGTTCGGCAGACCGCCTGCCCAGCTCTTGCCAGGACTACGGAGTCGAATCATACAAACCCAATATAGCACGTGCAATAGGACCCAAAGAAAACGAACAATCGGAGACTACTAAGGTGAGAACATGCTTACCAAACCATAAAATCATAATCTCAACTGAATACACTTAATAGGTTAAACACTTATACATATACCGGAATTTATACCATTTCGAAGCTAAGATAAAGCCCTACAACTTTGATGAAGACCACTCAGTCTACTTCGTAGTGTATCCAGGTCAAAATTTCAAATTACAGAACCAGCATCTCACAATCAGACTAGTTAACCGCACTATGATTAAACGACAATAACTAAGGATACCAAAGTCCGATTGAGGTGTATCTTATGGCATTTCGAAGCCAAGACATATACTTACATTTCTTATGAAGGCCTCCAAAGCTAAATCATGCATTTTCAGAGTCAAAAATTGAAATCTCCCCAAAGACAGAAAACTGTCCACGAAACAGGGCTTATGGACAGTCAAGGAAATTTCGTCATTTCATGGGCTACAGTGCTCCAATTGAGCTAAACTTTTGTAGGCAGCTAGTAATATCATTTTCTACAACTTTCATGTTTTAATCTAAGCCTGATTCGACCTCTAACATGCACGAATAAAGCTGGTCAGAACAGGGCAGATTGAAACCCTAAAACTGGAATTTTCGCACAAAATCGAAATTTTTCCGCAAACAATCGCAATTAACGCACAAAGACTTCATTTCATACCATATCAAGCTATCATTCATGGTCAACCACTAATTATCATATAAAATCAGAAAAATCCCCACTAAAATCTAAAATTTAGCTAACTCTACTTCAAACCACAAAACATTCCATACAATAGCATAGTTAGCCACTAAAACCCACTAATTTGACATTAGCAAGAACAAAGAGGAAGTTTCCAAGCAAGGTACCTTGACACTTCAAGAAAGATGATAGTTTAGGGTTTTTCTTTCACAAATCCCTCCATTAGAAGCTTTAATCCTTCTTAGTAAGCAACTTTTATGGAGTAATTTGATAATTCAACGGTTGAAACTCAAGATTGGAGCAAGAATTGAAGTTGAAGTTGAAAAAACTCTCTTAGTTTCTCTCTCACTAATTTCGGCCAAAGGAGACAAGAAAATGAATGAATTTTGGTCAAAAATCTGATTTTAGTAAAGCTACTAACCTTACCCAAAAGTCTAACTTCTAATAGCATAGTGACACTTGGTAGGGGTGGGCGCGGGTCGGGTACCCGCCCCATTCATCATTTGGCTGACCCGACCCGCACCTTGCGGGTCAGCCATTTTTTGACCCTAACCCGCCCCGCATATTAGCGGGTACCCTATAATCGGGTACCCTCTGAGATAGGGTCGGGTCAACGGGTACCCGCCCCGTCCCATTTATCATTTAATTTTTAAAAAAGTGATTTGTACCAATTTAATTTTATATTTTACACATTCATTTAAGATTTAAGAAATATTTTTTTTCTAAAAAAGGGTTTCCCACCAAGAAACAAGCATGTGAAGAAAATATAAGATAAAGAAAAAAAATTAAAAGAATTCGAAATCAATAAAAGTTTGAAATAAGTAGCACAATTTTTAATATATATGTTTCACATTAATTAAACTTTTTTCTATAAAATATAAGATCATGGTCTCTACAAATGAATCTTGTAAATAAACTATAGTCTCTCATAATTGTAATACAATTTGTTCAATAAAATTACTTATTTAGTTCTTATTATTTTATAGTGTGTGTATAAAAATAAAATAAAAAATAAAAAATATATATATGCGGGGCGGATCGGGTATCCGCGGGTTTTTAATTATGTGACCCTAACCCGCCCCGCATCTTAGCGGGAACCCGACCCTCTTTTGACCCGATCAAATAATAAATATCGGATATCCTAATTTTCGGATCGGATCGGATCGGATATGACGGGTTTTCGGGTTGGCGGATAATTTTGCCCACCCCTAACACTTGGCTCCTTTTTAGGGTTTTAAACTTATCCTTTTGTCTACCAGTGGTAATTTATCTAACTAACCTCTAATTGTCTCCCAACACTTTGTACAGTAATATTCCTTTATACAAAACTTCAATTAATCGGTAAAAATTTATCGCACTTAGCGCACTAGTGGGCCCCACATCCATAATACGCTTCAAACTTAATATGAACTAACTTAAATTAGAAAAATGATGTAAAAACTCTACTCACTTATAAAATGTCTAGAAAAATCAATATAAGAAGGTATAATGAAGAAAATGCATGTGGGAAAGTAAAATAAAATAATATAAAAATACGGGACGGGTCCTCACAGAGAGGACTTGAACACTTGAGCGCAAACACGAGTGTGCGGGTAAACACTCAGGGAGCGAAGTGAGGAACTTTATTACTAACCTTTCTCTTTGCAGGTTGAATTAACTATGTCTCAAAGTGTTGGAACTATTAATAATCCTTATGACATGGGACATATGATCGAGGTGTTGAATCAATTGAACAAAAGATTTGACGCTTTGGAAAGCAAGGTGGAGCAATCTGGTCCATCAAAAAGTACCACCAAAAGGAAGCCTCATTTGGACGAATCAAGTGATTCGAATAATGAGGCTGACTCTGAGGGCCATGAGGACCGAACTAGAGGAGCAAAGAGAAATTCCAAGCACGGAGATGATGATGAAATCTGAGGGATTAAACTCAAAATTCCTCCTTTCCAAGGCAAGTCCGATCCAGAGACTTACCTAGAGTGGGAGAGAAAGATGGAACTTATCTTTGAATGTCAATCTTATTCGGAGAGTCAAAAGGTTAAGCTCGCAGCTATTGAATTCACCGATTACGCAGCAATTTGGTGGGATCAACTGCGCCCAAGTCGGAGGAGAAATGATGAGCATCCCGTAAGGACATGGGTGAGCTCAAGAGATTGATGCGGAAATGCTTCATCCCAGCTTACTACCATAGAGATTTGCACAACAAATTGCAAACTCTTACTCAAGGTAGCATGACAGTCGAAGATTATTTTAAGGAAATGGAAATGGCCATGATGAGGGCTGATGTTCATCAGGATTTGGAGGCCACTATGGCCAGATTTTTGCATGGATTGAGGGACGAAATTGCTGAGATTGTGGAGCTGCATCATTACCTTGATTTAAGTGAGTTGTTGGATAAGGCGGTAAAGGTGGAAAGGCGCCTCAAGGGGAGAGGTACACACTCGCTCAAATTCCAACTATCAAGCTGGAAATTGGCGAAGTTCACCTTCAAGAGGCAAGGACAAGACCGTAGGGATCTCTCAACCACCAAAACCGAGGCCCTATGATGCTACACCAACACCTAAGGCCGAGATGGAAGCTAGCCAAAGAACTCCAAAATCGCGAAGTCAGGATGGTAAATGCTTCAAGTGTCAAGGCTTTGGGCACATAGCATCTCAATGTCCCAACCAAAGGGCCATGCTTATCTTGCCTAATGGAGAAGTGGTGTTCAATAATGAGGACGATTGTGAGGGAATGCCACCTTTCGTAGGAGAAAGCGACCACTCGGAGGAAGAAGTACCATGTGAAGGGAATGTTGGAGTCTTGGTTGCAAGAAAAGTGCTTGCTGTCCGAGCTTTAACAAATGAAGGTGAACAAAGGGATAACTTGTTCTACACTCGTTGCCATATCAAGAACAAGTTGCGTAGCCTAATAATTGATGGAGGAAGTTGTGCAAACGTAGCAAGCTTGTTCATGGTTGAGAAATTGTCTCTCCTAACCACCAGACACCCTAAACCATATCGCCTTCAATGGTTAAATAACGATGGTGGTGAACGAGTTTATAGGCAAGTAAAGGTACCATTTCGCATTGGTAGGTATGAAGATGAAGTGGTATGTGATGTGGTACCCATGCAAGCGTGTCACTTGATCTTAGGCCGTCCTTGGCAATACGACAAAGCTATCCACTTCGATGGTCTATCTAACAAGTATTCTTTCATGCATGGTCACCAAAAGATTACTCTTGTTCCTCTTACCCCTGGACAAGTCCAAGAGGATCAAGTGAGGTTACGTGAGGAATATGAGTTAGAGTGTGAGTTGAGAAAACAAGAAAAGAGTGAGATTGAGAGTAGTGAAGAGAGAAAAGCACTAGTGAGTTCCGCCAAAGAGGTGTATAAAGCTATGAAGCATAGCTTGTTAGTAAGGGCTGAGTGTGACAAAGTTCTTTCTTGTAACTTTACTAACACAAGTGCTCCTAGTTTTGTTTCCTTTTTGCAGGTTAGCCACTCGAATATGGAATTGCATGATTGCTGTCCAATCTCACCCAAACTTGTTGCCATTCCGTTTCGTGAAGATGATGATAGCACCATTCCAGAAAATTTCACCTTATTACCTTCGTTTCTTCTTTCTTATCATGTCTATGTTTTCTTTCCACATTTACCTCATTTTAGTGAGCAGTCTACTAATCGTTGTTGTTCCATTTTTGTAGACATTGGGGCCGATTGTATATCACAGGTTTGCTTAAAGCAAGGGTTCCTCAATGAGCATTACAACTACCATCTCCCCCTTCTAGATCATCCATGTGAAGCTTCCTTATCTCGACATCCGATTCTGTGCTATATACCCGTGATTGCAATCAAAGACGTTGGATTGTGGGGAGATGTACAGCACCAATTTGAGGATCCATACCTCTTCGAAACACAAGCCTTGAAAATGGTCCGTGAGCTTCAAGTTATCACAACTGGTCCTTTCCGGCATTGTACATGGTGGTCCTTGTATTGGATGCAACCCTTGAACTTGATCATCGTCCGGTTGTCCCAACGACATGTCACTCTTCTTGTGAGCCTTCGCGCTTCGATTTGTGGGCAAATCGCCTTTAAGAGGAGGGAAATGATACGAGACTAGCTGGTTATAACATTTATCAAATCTGTTTGCATCGAGCTAGAGTCATTTGATGGTGTCTTCATTGTGTCTTGGCCGAATGGTCCCCTTTATGGGCTGTTGTGGCTTATTTCCATTGTTTTATGTCATTTGGTTGTTAATTCCAAAATTTGAGTTTGGTCGTCTTAGTCAATTAGTTAATAAAAGGGCTCAAGGTCATGTTGACCATACTTAGTAGCCAATTGGAGTTAATTCATAGAGTTAATTGGAGTTAGGGTTAAGTCTCTTACTTCCTAGTTGGATTAGGAGTTTTGGTCTTGTAAAAGGCTATAAAAAGCCTTTACTTTCACGTTTTAGGGGGAGGAAGAAAGTTGAGAAAATTTTCCAGATTTCTTTCGTGAATGAAAGAGTTCTCCTTGGCTTGTGAAGCCACTATTGAACATCTTAGAGTTGCCCTAAGGTGATTTGTCAACTTATCAATCAAGTAGTCCCCTTGATTGTGGCGTTGTCCTAACCGTTCTAGTCTTTCTTGTGCGGTCCAAGATAGATTACGAACTCCATCACCAAACGTGATTCCTAACGTAGATCCAGACTTGTGCTTTACGTTCTTGATTCATCTTGGTGTTTCAAGAATCGCATCATTTGGGTTATCTGAACTAGCTTTTACGGATTGAATGAGGATTCCATCTCTCTCTCTATCTATCCTCCTATTCGAGCAAGCCTAAGGGCTTTCCTTGTCATTCCATTTTTATTTTTGATACCTGGTTGGGTTTTCAAAAGTTTCATCCTCTAGTAAGCTAAGGAGTGGGGCAAGAAGCATGCTTTTAAAGAAGTGAAATTCCGAATTTTATTCACTTGCTACAATTTTGTATGATCACAATCTCATGTAAACTTAGCACATAGCTAAAGTGACTAAAGGACCAAAAGCATTAACCAGGGTAATATATCCATGACCAAAGTAGAGCAACTCAATGAATATAGCACCATGCTTTAATATATCTTCCAACATAAGATGAAACACTACAACCCCTGTGCGTGCATGTTTTTGGCGTGCATGTTTTTGATAGCCAAAAACAATGTAAAACTGTTTTAGACCCAAAAAGAAAGTTTAGATCTAAGAAATCTCAAATTACAATAAAATTTTAGAAAGGGAGAAAACTCTTATTAGAAAAATCAAGGAAAGACGAAACTTTCACTAGTTAAGAAATCTCAGAAGAAAAAAATAACCCTCATCAAGAAAATCTAAGAGAGACTTTTATTCTAACAAACAAGAAAAAATGACTATAGGGAGGGAGACTCGTTGAGGTTGAAGAACTTGTTCTGCAACAAAAGAAGTTGTTTAGAGAGAATGCAAAGAAATTAGCTTTTTCAAGGAAGAAGAAGAAATTGTTCTACAACCGAGTGGTGTTTTAAGTCTTTTAAACTTTCATCTTCTTGTATAGATTCATCCCTGTTAACCACTCTTTTTGACTGATCAGTCACAATTCGAAATCAAACCAAAGAATTGTTCGCTTTCTTCTTGAGTCTAATGAACATCTTTCAAATATGAGTTCTACTTCTTTTTTTTCATAATTTATTTTATTAAAATGGTTCAAGGTCCATCTCTTGTCTAGATTCACCAATCAAAACCATTATCTTTCAATCAACTAATGATTTCCAAAATCACTCCTCTCTCTCTACCTTCAACCTTCTCTCTACTCTTCTTCCTTCATAGGAGGGAGATCTTGGCTTTAAACCAAGGTATCCCTTCCTCTTCCTTTATTCTCCCTTCCTATTCCTTTATTCTTACTTTTATTTAATAAAGTCTCTCCTAGGGTATTCTAGTGAGAGTTTTCTTCTCTCTCAAGTTATCGTGATGAGAGTTTTCTTCTCTTCTAGGCTATCCTGGTGAGAGTTTTGTTTAGTTTTTATTTTTTTTTGTTATTTATTTTCTCAGATCTAAGAAGTTTTTCAGATCTATATTTTACATCTAAAATTTTTTATATCTTCTCGTTAGATCTCAACGTTAGTTTTGAGTTTGAACAAATTGGATAGTAGATCTAAAGGAATAGACATGCACGGATATCTATAGAGCGGTTCATTCAATTTGTCAGATTTGATGATTGGTGATTCACAGTGTAATTTTTTATATTTTGTAACTCTGTTAAATCTTATGATTTTTCAAATCAAATATATCTGTGACATGTTCAGTGTATTTTCTACCATTAGTGCAGATTACTTTGTCAAGCAAATCACATTGAACGATTTCCAGCAAGATGATTAATAATATTGACTTATGTTTTATCAAAAAAAAATAATGATTTTCAAATTAAACCATCTCCTCCCATTTTCAAGTCAGATGAATATTTTTTTTTCAAATCAGTGGAGCTAGTATTCTTTTTAGGGTTAATTTCACATAAACGCCCTGAGGTTTTTGACAATTGCAAAAAATCCCCTCAAGTTCTAAAAGTACACCTAGCTCCCCTATTTTCACTATTTAAGTAACATTCTAGGCCCAAAAGACTATACTTTTTCTCAAAATTCCTATAATGCCCTTGAGTTATAATTCACAACAAAAATGAAAAGGAAAAAAATGGTTCACAGATTTTATTTCATTTTTATCTTTACTTGCTATCACTATTACCTATCCTATCAACATTCATGTTCTTTTTTTTTTTTTTACCTAAAAATTTCTGATGCAGATCATTGTATCAACTATAAATGCTACATCAGATGCCCAAAAGCTTACCTACAATCTCATGTCAATATCAGATTTTACTTAACACACAACAATAGTGATCAATATGCCTAAATTTCAATTTCGTGGCTGCCACCTTCTTAATACAAAATAATCTAATTCATAA